ATGAAATCACTCCAGTGCAATCAACTCTCTTTAAAGAAAAATGAGACAGACTGGAATAGGAAATGCCATTGCCCATTGCATTTCACAATTGGGCATGAAATATTGGTGAATATTTTATGACACTTCAGTTTTGAATCATATACATATGGATATGTGTATTGGATCACTATTATTATTATTATTTGTTGTTGTTGTTGTTTGGACGCAGTCCAAAACAGCTACTGACCACATGTTGTAGATCATGATACTATGAGCACCTTCATCAGATCAGCTACACCTGCAAAAGATCATTATAGCCAGGCTTGTTGACTGCTGACATTCACTCATGGAGGAGGGTGGGGAGGGTCCCTGGACTTGCACCTGAGTATTCAGCCACTCCTCCCAGCCTTTTGTATGCAATTCTGTTCTAATTGCTCATGGCCTAGGGAAGGGGGTTCCAGAAGGAGCTGGAATGTATAGGTTGAGAAATAACTAATGGGCAGGGCTCCATCTGCTGCTCTAGGGTCACGCTGGCCCCAGCCGGTAGCCCCTTACCCATGCTCTGTAAATAAGCCCAATAAACCTGTTGGATCCTCAGGGTGAACTTCATACTTTGGTTTGTTGTTGGAACAACAACCTTAGGAGGAGGTAGACCTAGTTTACATTTTCCCGGGGAAAAACTCTCACAGTACTACACTTCCGCAAACACATACTCCATGCTGAATCCCACCACACAGCCCAGAAGTCACATTTCACAGCTCATTTTCCTTTCACTGGGAACAAGCAAAGTTTCTCATTTTCCTGCAGAGTTGGGAAATTGTTTCGATCTGTGTTTCTGTGGCATAATGTGCCAAAAAATAAGATTGCATAAGATCAGTCATCATAGATTTTTTTCAAAGTCTCAAATTATGGTCTAAGAAGATATCTTTACCTAACTGAGGATATGCAAAGCTTTCCTTATTATTTAGTGTCCATCCAGAGGAGGATCCAGGTTTTACTGGTCTGCTGCTAGACAAAATACAGGACGCCCAGTTAAATCTGAATTTCAGATTCACAGCAAATAGATCATTTAGAATCAATGTTCTCATGTAATATTCGAAGTAAAAAGAATAATTTGTTTAGTTACCATTTTCTAAAATATGTTATGTACCATGAAATATTTGGAATCATGACATTATTGTTTATATGAAATTCAAATTTAACTTGGTGCTGGCAATTTTTTTTTGTTGTTGTTGTTAAATACAGAAACCCTAATGAAATGAGAAGCTTGTCCTATATAAGGGAGTCCTGTTTCAGCTAACCCAGAAGCCTTTCATGGATACATTTTCAAAAAATACTTGGATTTGTAATCTTGTATTATGAACCCTCAGAAGATTTTCCAAGAAGGGCCTCTGACAGTTCAGCTTCATGAGCTGAATGGTAGATTTCCTCTGCGTCATATCTTAGTGTGAAGAGAAAAATATGTATGTCAGCATAAGGTATGGAAAATTGTGTGTGTATGGTTAACAGCTATAGGAGCATCAGTAATGGAGGAGAAAGGTGTATTCCCTACCCCTATCAACTAATGAAGGGAAGAAGGAAGGAAGGAAGGAAAGAAGGAAGGAAGGAAGGAAGGAAGGAAGGAAGGAAGGAAGGAAGGAAGGGAGGGAGGG